TATAGGTTCTATAACCTCACTTAGTAACCTCTTAAGAGCTATGCATTTTTATAAATTATAATGCAATCCATTTCTTTTTTAAAAAATCCAGTGCCTTTTTAATGGACTAACGCAATACACAATCAAATATAATATTTTCTTTCCTTAGCTACAGTTCTTGTTAAGGAGAAAACGTCCTCCCAGTTCAAATTTTGCCCTGTATTTTCTTGATACTTGATTTTGGAGTGCAGGGGAGTTTGTTAACTCTCGCAGAGGTTCAGACTCCTCTCTGTTTTCAGTATATGTGCTGCCGAAGCGAGCACACAGACTCCTCTCTGTTGAGTGGGGATGATAAGGGAAGATCTTGATGAGAATTCCAGGAGGGAATTTGTAGATATTTCTAACATAGACCCAGCACATAGTGGGTACACAAGAACACTGGATGTATTCCTACTGTGCTTTATACTCAACAGGTTTGAGCTGTATTTTCTCTTATTATTCAACTTTCCATCATGGAAACTGCCTTACCCTTCATGGGGCTGTTTCAAGTTATTTCCTAGTGCTTTTACTACCATTCTGAGGTCTCTGAGGCAGACATATGCTTGTCTGCTAGTGTGGGAACCTCATGGGGAGGTAAATAGATGCAGATGAAAATGTCTTCCTTTCTTCTTTCCTCCTTTCATTCTTCTTTCTTTTCTCTTCCCTTCCTTTCTTCCTCTCTCCCTTTTTCCTTCCATCTCTGTATGCTTATCTATCTTTTCATATTTTTTTTCTGTCAGGATTTCTGCACAGGCTATGGAAGAATACCTCTGGAATCAAACCCTGGCTCAACAACTTTGGAGCCCCAAGAACTTTGGAGAATGCATCCATTTTTCTTGAGCCTTAATTTTTATAACTAAATGAAGATAATGATGCCTGATTTGTGTGGTTGTGTGGAGAATTAGACATATTTGAAAGAAAATCCATAACACAGTACCAGGCACAAAGAAAATAACAAAGGGTGGGGTTACTAACTGTATCATGGTATAACTCTACCTCCTACCACATCCATCCACTCAGCAGCTGGCAACTGCTTTCCTACTCTTACAAACTTTACCTCAGCTCATGGTGGATAACTTGGAACCCATGAATGTATACATGTTTGTATTGTTCTAGTTTCAATTTATGTTTTTCTGTAATAAAATCCTTTGCATTAAAACTCATTTACTGTTTGTTTGTCACATACACAGCATCTAAAATGCTTTCTTCTCCTCAGTTTGGTAATGTCCTTACTTAGAATTGTCTAACAGCTGTCTGGATTTAACAGTTTCACAGTGTATTTACTCTTCCAACCATTTATGAGCTCAACCTGGGTCCTTGGGAAATGCGCTACTTGCCTGCATAGTGTTTAATTCTTTGCAGGCTGAATTTGGTCTGCTACCTTGTCAAAGGGTTCTCACACTCTGAAGAAACCCTCTGTTAGCTTTTTGTTGACATCTTTATCCCCTTAAATCATCTAAGTGGATTTAGTAAGGAGCATTTTTCCTTACACTTAATAAGGAATGTTTTCCTTACATGAACATTCTTACTTTTCCCCCTTTATGGTGTTTTTTGAAGTCCTCAGGGGCCACTCCCTGTAGTACAGATGAAGTGGCCAAGATGTTCCGGGTCTGCTCTGGGGCCCTTCTTTAAAGTGGTGCTGTACAGGCAGCGTCATGGTGCTCTGCCTCGGGCTCACTGTGCTAGTGTGAGTTTTGCCCCTGGATCAGCATTTGGCCCTCACCTTTCCTGACAGCTCAGAGCGGCCCGTCCTGATGACGTGTGCACCTGAGTTTCAAGCCTGCACTCTTGGCACTGTTATCTCTCTTTCCTCCAAAAGTCAATGGTGGGATTAGAGCTTTGAGAAAGTATTCTTTCAAGCTTCCTGCTTGCTCTTATTTTCTTCCAAAGAGGAGCTTTGATACATGAACATCTAGGGGCCTGCTGGTTTGAGAGTTGGTGCTCTGCCTTTGATGCTCTGAAAGATTCTCTAC